AAACAGGATGGGAGGCTCGCGGGCCCTTTCGGGGTCCCCGCTTTTTGGTGTCTACTGGCCCTGTTCGGCCAGCGCCCTGGAGGGTGCCCAGGGTCCCCTTTGGGGTGCCCAGCTTATCCAGGCTGGGTGCTGACGGGGAGCGTGGGTGCATGCGTGCAGAGCAACTCTAGTGTCGATTTGATGTTCAGGCCACGGTTCATAGCATGAGTTTGCGTATCGCTGGTCGGCTCGTGCGGTGCTCTTGGTTTATTTAGCGACCTTGATTAACGATATTATTGTGTCACCAGTGATGTTTTGCGTGTCGCAACTCCTCCCTTCTATTCGTCCCTTCCCTCCGCCCCTCGCAAGAAAGCGCAATGGTGGATATATCAAATACTATATAGAGTAAGTGGCCGTCTTGGTCTACATCATCAAGTTTGGCCTCGTGCGCCTGTGTTTTCCAGCTGTCGAGCCGCCTGGCGGTTTGGTTGGTTGTCGTCCGCAGCAGTGAGTTTTCCTTTCCCCTTCTCTCTTTTCCCCCTGCGCCTCCTCCTCCCCTTTTTTCTCCTCCTGGACCTCATCGCAAGGTACCCGGTGGACCAATGGGAAAGGTCAAGGAAGAGGGCCATCACTGTGCAGAGCTGGTGCGAACTGGCGCTGAAGATTGCACAACAACGACGAAGAGAACCTCCACACAAAAATGAAGGTTACCATCAAGGATATGAACAACGAGGACACATGGAGCCAGAGGAAGTGAAGGGGCAGAAAGAGCGCTAGAAGCTAAAAGACAGCACCCAGACCATCCTGGATGGCACCGAAACCTTCGCGGAATAATTCGGCGACCCCAAGTCGGAGGAGGACGGCGGCCAGTTCAAGCGGCCACCAGTGAGCGCACCCATTGGAGCCTGCTGATTTGCCAATAGAAGCCTGAGCGAGGTTTTCGGAGTGCTAATCTAGGCGAGGTATGAGCTGGCCGTGCCCACAGACAGTCCGGAGGACCATTGGCGAGGTTTCTCGGAGTGTAAATCATGTCATACAATATGGGCACAACCGTGCGCCTGCAACGCCATTGCAAGTGGAAGTAATTTTTGGAGTGCCATCGTGTACACAACTGCAGGGTGTGGGAGGAGAAAAAAGTCACCATCAAGAAACCCACCAGTGTGCTCCTCACTGGCCCTACCTATTAACGTGACTTCCAGCGTACTCTACCTCGCACACTCCGAGGGGGCACGTTGGGCTACTTCAACAGGGTACCCGAGCACAGGTGTTACATTACATGGGGCATCTCTCGGCACGACCGAGAAGTGGGTTGAGTGAAAGAGGGGAACACGGTATCAAATTTGTAGAGGTGGCAGCCCGCCCAGCAAGAGTTTGGGGTCTCGGGCCTTCCGTCTCTCCCCCCTCTCCTCCTTTTGAGGTCGTGTCGTCGTCTTCTTTTTCCCCTGGCTTGGGCCCCCTGCTAAGCCCGCGCGCCCCATCCCTTAGGGCACGCGGAAAGGCTGGCAGCCGTTCCCCCCGCGTTGACCCGATGGGATTCGTGATGTACAGTGAAGAGCTTCTTTTACGGGGCCACCTCGGAGTTTGATCCTCGAACTATGGGGTGTGCCGCCTGCCAGCCCTAAAGGCAGGGCTGTAGCGCAACAGATCGCAAGGGATTTTGGCAATGGCGCGTAGATCGCCTGAGTCGGTGCTTTGACGTAATACCCCCTTTATGCGGATGTCCTTGTCCTTGTCTTTCTCCTCTTCCTCCTCCTCCTCTGGAGCCTCTGGCGCCTCTGCGTACAGATCCTTCGGTGAAAGACCAGCTTGGAAAGCAAATTGTCGTGGGCGGGGAAGGGGGCCCCCACGAACGCTGAACGTGCGGCTTGCTCGCTGGCGAAAGTAGTGCCGGAGCCCTCGCCGCTCCCTTCCCAGCCTCCTGGGGGCACCGAGCGGCCAGGTCCCTGACCCGCCGCCTCGCGTAGCGCCCTCCTCTCCCTCCTCCTTCCTCCTCATCCTCTCCCTCCGCCTCTCTCCCCCTTTCTCCCTCCTCCTCCTCTCGCTGCCTCCTCCTCTCCGTGACATCTCCTCTCCCTCCGCCTCTCCCTCCTCGTCCTCTCCCTCCTCTCCCCCCTCCCTCTACTTCCTCCTCTTCTTCCCCTTCCTCCTGCTCCTTCTCCTCTTCATCCTCCTCCTTTCCCTCTGCTTTCCCCTTCTCCCAACAGGGGAGGGCCTGCCGCCCACCTGGGGGCCCCGACGCAGGACAGGGTCACGGTCTTCCACGCCGGCTGCCCCATCAACAGCCCGTTCGCAGACTTCATCCCGCACCTCGTCTCGGGATCGCCCCGCGTCGGCCGCGCCGAGAGGGCCCGATCTCCGACGCGGTGTGTGTCTGTGTGTGTATGCGTGCTTTGCTCCGTCTGGTCCAGCCGCTTGTGGTGTCGGGCCCTCGTTTCGAGGACGTGTCTCCATTTCGGCACACCCCTGAAGTGGACCGTGGCCCCATATGGACGGATTTCCACCTACGGCCCAAGTGGCAGGCTTCGATTTTTCCTCCGATTCGATTGGATTCGATTTCGATTCGAATCCTCCGATTCGAATTCGATATCTGGCGATTCCTCCGATTCGATTCGATTCGATTTCGATGGCATCCGATTCCCATTCGATTCGACTTCGGATTACGATTTGAACTCCGATTCCTTACTGGAGGCATACTAGCTTGCCGATTTCCGCCGGTTCGACTTCTCCCGATTCGGCTGCCGATTTCCGCCGATCCGACTCATTTCGGTTGCCGATCCGACTTTTCGATTCGATTCTGGGCTCTCCTGCTGGTATCGCGGCCACATATATGGAGTTCTACTAGCGGCCCCAGTGTGGGGAAGGGTCAGCTTGGCGGCGCCGCCCGTACTGGCTCACCTTTTACGAGGATCGCGCCCCTGTTCGGCACACCCTCACGCGAGCCCATCTACGGCCCCATGCATGCGTTTCCCAACGAATTACGGCGCACCTTTGTGTCATTTCACGTTTCGCAATCTTGTGGATCTCCACATGCGACTCGCAGTGGGACACTTTGAATACGCTCCCCTACCCATTCTGGCACATCCCTCACACGGGCCGTGCATAGAGAGGATCACCGCCATCGTTACGCATGAAGGTTGCTCAGGGTTGGGTCTTTCGCCAGGTAACGTTCAATCGAAGCGCGCCCCGCCCCGGCGCTCGCATTTGGTCTTTCCTAACACCATGTGGAGTCGGGCCTTTGTTTTGACTCCGCAGCGTCGCGGTCCTCTTTGCCCCCCTCCTCCTCTTCCTGATCCTTCTTCGGGCACCTTTCGGCTCACCACTCACACGTTTCATGTCCCCGCAGGGAGCTCCACCTGCGGCCCAAGTGGGCCCGACTGTATGGCGCACCCGCCTCCAAGACCCAATGGCGACATTCGCTACATGCCCGAGTGGGCGCGGGCAGATGGCGTGGCAGCCTCCACTTCGGCAGACCTTTCCCGCGTCTCGTGGCCCCACTGAGGGCTCCACCCGGGGCCCCTGGTGGGCGCGGGGGCACGGCGGACCCGCCTCCGGCGCACGCCTCGCACGCCGCGTGGTCCCCCCCAGGGAACCGGACCTCTCGGCGGTCCGCACGTCGTGCCCGCTCCCAGAAAGTGGAAGCCCATGCCAAGAGACACCCTGCTCGCCTCCAGGTTGCCCTGGGTTTCTTGGGTTTCGACGGTCTTGCGATGGAAGGCGTGACGTTCCCACACCAAAAGTCAATGGACGTCCTGGGGTCTCAGGGTCGGGTTTTTTGTGGAAGGTTTCTTGTGGTCGAGCGCCTACTGTATCTCAGGAGCGAAAGAAGGACGTACATGTACATGAATCCACGCTGGTTTCGAGAGCACGCATTGCGCAAATGTTCGTATAACGCGGCCGGTCTCGCGAATCGAGGGGCCGTGTTCATGTACATAGCTGGGCGCGTACGTCCTTTGTGGGCTCCCTAGTATCGGCATCCCTCCCTCACACAATTCGAGACCCCCCTAGTGAGCTTCACGTATGGCCCGAGTGGCACACTTCGCACGGCGTGCCCGCGCCCAGTTTGGCCGCCGATGGGCCCGAAAACGGCCACCCCTCGCTGGCTTCTCGTCCTGAGGTTTGGGGCCCAGAGGCTCGAGAGTGTCGAGCGGTCGGCGGCCTGGAGGGGAGAGGGCAGTCCGCCCGTTGGCCCCTCGCCCACTTCAGGGCTCGAGCCGCCAGGGGCGAGGCAGGAGACGCAGAGGGTGAGGAGGAGGATTGGAGAGGCCTGACGGCGGGTGCCGCCGACCCTGATCGAAAGGGCTAGGAGTGGGGGCAGGAAGCAGAGGATGAGGAGGAGGAGGAGGAGGAGGAGGAGGAGGAGGAGGAGGAGGAGGAGGAGGAGGAGGAGGTGGAGGAGGAGGAGGAGGAGGAGGAGGAGGAGGGGAGGAGGAGGAGGAGGATGATGATGAGGAGGGGGAGGAAGTGCATCCTTTGTGTGCCCGCTCGAAGAAAGTGCGCCCCGGGACTGTGATATTCTGACTTGGGACGTGTTGCCGGAATAGGAAGAAGTGCATCTCGGGCGTGCCCGCTCGAAGAAAATGCGCCCTAGTTTTTTTTTTTTTTGACTCGGGGCCCGCTCCCGGGACGCCTCTGCGGGAGGAGGAGGAGGAGGAGGAGGAGGAGGAAAAGGAGGAGAGGAGCAGGAGGTAGATAGATAGAGCGGCATTGGGGGGCAAGGCAGTGCATTCGTCCGCAAGGATGGGCCCCCGCCGTCGCCGCTCAGAGCGGCACGCGCGCCGATCACCTTGCCGAGCGAGGCGTAGTCGTGTCGGCCATCCATATTCTCGAACCCGAAGTCATAGCCCTGCCCACCACGTAGCCAGCTCGTCCTCCATGACTCCCGCTGGTGGTATGCCCTTCTTCGCCGTAGCTCCCCCTTGAAGCAGCGCTCTGTGGGTGCTGTCCTTGGAGTTGCTCTGCTGCTTCTGCTCCTCTTGGAGATCCGCCTCGGCCACCGCGGCGGTCGAGGGCCCCTGCTCGATATACAGTGTGATCTTCGCCTGGTTGCAGTCGTGGCACTTGCTGATCTTCAGGTGCTTCCCGTTGTAGAGGTCTGTCGCCGCACTGAACGGGTCCTCGAACTTCCCGTGCTCTGTGAGAATGCTCTTGGTCTTGGCGCCCACGTCCTCGGAACAGTGGGTCGAAATAAGCGAATGTCCCTTGCCCGCCTCCGTGCACTTGTCCGTGTATATTTTCCTGCAGGCTCGGAGCGCCTGGATCACCTTGGTCGGAGTCGGTATCGGATACAAGCAGTAGACCGCGGACACGACCCAGGCGATCTGCTGAGTGTTGGTCAGACCTTGCTTGATCATCACCGTGAGCGGCTTCTTCAGCTTGTGGTCGCACTTGGTCTGGTCGGCTGTACCTCCTCGTTGTTGGCGTCGTGTGGGGACTTGGCGCCGCAGCTGAGGCCAGCAGCCATGAGCATGAGGTGGAGGTGGCCTCTGCTTGGACATGCACTGAAGTTGTCTGTAGGAGCAGCGCCAGTAGGGGGCGGCATGTGGAGTATGCGCAAGCCGCGGTCCTTCGGCTTGCCGTTCTTCTTGTCGAGGGTGCAGCTCTGGCTGTGGTGGGCATTGAGAGGGGCGAAGCCGACGCGGTACGCGAGGTAGTGGACTGACTCGAAGCTCTCCTGCGCGAGGGGTGCCTCAGCGAGCTCGTCATCGTAGCTCACGCCTGTCGTCTTCGGCTTCTGCTTGGTGCAGTAGGTGGGCAGTAAGGTCATCTGGAAGATCTCGGGCAGTGGCCAGTCTGGCACTGAAACGCGCTTCCTCAAGTACTTGAGCCGCTTAATGACGCCTTCGAGTGCTCGCAGGTGTTGTCTTCGTGCTTCGTGCTGGCGCTTCTGCTTCTCGAGGGGAGGTATGAGGACCTCGATCTGGTACTCGATCTCGTAGTTGGGGGCGGTCCCGATGTACTCCTCTCTGAGCTTGGGGCGCGCCTGGAGTAGCCGCAGACTTTCCTTCATGAGCTGGTCGTATTGGTCGAGCTTGGGCTTCTGGCGCTCGAAAAACTTGGCCGCCTCCTTCATGATGTTCACGATGAGCTCCCCGCATTCGTCCGCTGTGCGGTCCCCGACCAACTTCTGCTGCTTGTCGTGGTGCTTGCCGATGTAGAACTCCTGCGCGCCATTGAACTCCTTGCGGTACTTGTCCTTTTGCAGAGCCAGGGCCGTCTTGTCGTAGTCCCAGGCGGTCATCTTTAGATATGTGAACAAGTTCGGGATGATGACGTTGGCGGCTGCATGCAGTAGGACAGGGTCGCGCGGCACGTTGTCATTGATGAGTTGAGCTGCCTTGGCCGTTCGCCGCCTGATTGTGCAAGAAGTAGTGCGGGAGCATAGACCGTGGGGCAATGCAATGTAGTCGGGGCGAGTGGCCTGTCCATGGGCGCCGGTGTGCATGGGCCTCGAGTGCCGTAAAATGTTCAGGATGCACCTGCCGTGCACGTCGATCACGAAGTGGAAGGCGGCGGTTGCCTCTCCAGGTGCTCCTATGGGGCCAGAATCGCCGCTCGCGTAGCTGGGCGAGGCGGGAAGCAATCCTTCCTGGCCGTAGTGGTCGTTCAGGTCGAGGCCGATGATCGGCGTGCTCCTGGTGGGCGTCGCGTTCTGGGTCTTGTAGATCCGCTGGAGCTTCTCGTTGATCGTCTTGATCCGAACGTTGTGGCGCTTGGCGAGCCCTGACCGTGGAGGAAGAGCCGCAACGATGAGATTCGTGTCTAGTCCTCCTCGACGAAGGCTGGCTCCTGCGCGTCCTTGAATGCTCGGCGGCGGGCGGGGGAGCGCGGTCACACACTTGATGCGGTAGCGATTGCTGAACGTGTTGGCCACGCCCGCGTGATTGTTGGTGAAGGATCCACTGCCGTAGCCCCTCGTGACGATGCGGTGCTGGTAGGTCTGGAGCTGGTCGACGGGGCTGGAGGCGTGCTGCCTGCAACGAGCGGCTTGTAACGCGAAGACGTCGCCTGCGCTGAACTGTCTCGGCCGCTCCGAGCTTCTCAGTGGCTCGCCCGTGCTGAGCGGGTTGTACACACCCCAGCTCGGGAATGTCATCCAGAAGATCGCGAGAGAAGAAAAATGGATGGCCAGCCGCGCTGGCATGACATGAAGGGTGCCCTGGGGGCGGAAGCTGCTCTGCGTGGGGTGCCTGCTGGGCCGCGAAGAGTGGGGCTAGAGCAGGAGACGGCGGTTAGAGGAGCAGGAGGAGGAGGAGGAGGAGGAGGAGGAGGAGGAGGAGGAGGAGGAGGAAAAGGAGGAGGGAGAGGAAGGAGGAGGAGGAGGAGGAGGAGGAGGAGGAGGAGGGAGGAGGAGGAGGAGGAGGGAGGAGGAGGAGGAGGAGGAGGAGGAGGAAGTGCATCCCGTGCGTGCCCGCTCGAGGAAAGTGCGCCCCGGCGGGCGTCGTATCTGCCCCGCCCCCCCCCCCCTCTCCCCCCCCCCCCCCCCCCCCCTGCGGGGAAGGGATCAAAGGGAAGGGGCTTCCCTTCGACTCCACTACGACGTCGTGTAACTTCACTTTGGATAGCGCGCTTGAGGAGGAGAGCCCTGGGAGGGGGAGGACGGAGACGACGGAGACGACGAGTCGAACGGAGAAACCCCTCACACACGCCGACAGGGTCGGCGGATTCAGGAAGAGGAGGAGGAAAAGGATACCCCAGTGTAAACCGAAGATTCACCAACGATTTTACAATCAACCCTCCCCCCAAGTTCCTTCTTCATAGGCCTTTACAACGATTTGTTCCCACTTAGGGAAGTGCCCCGTTGGAACACAATCGTTCGAATCTCCCGAATTGAACCGTGCCACAGTACCGTTCCGGGGACTTCAATGCCGCGAATCAACGTTGTTGTTGCGTCTTTACGATCATGAATCTTGCCAGAAGCCGTTCTTGGGACTTCAGCACCGCGAATCAATCTGATTGTTGCGCCCTGACAGCCATACGTCGTGGCGAAACACCATTTCTGGGACGTCAGCCATAGCAATCCTTGAACCTGGTGTGAATTCTGAACACGATTGCGCGCGGCGCTCAGGCGAGCGCCACATTTCGAGAAGGAGCCGGCCTCCAGCCGCAAACTTCTTGCAGACCTTGAAGCCGAGTGTGCGCGGCGCCGAGGCGAGAGCCCCATTCTGAAAGCGGCCGCCCTCCGCCCGTGAAGCCCGTGCGAACTTGCAAGACGAAGGTGCGCGGCGCCGGGGCGAGCGCCACATGCTGTGTATCAGATCGCCTCCAGTCGTGAACTCCCTGCAGACTTTTACGACGAGGGCGCGCGGTGATGAGACGAACGCCACACTTTGCACACGGCCCGCCCTCCATCCGTGAGGCTCTTGCGCAGCTCGAGTTTGAGGGCCACACGCGGTGGGGAAGTCTCAGGCGAAACGCCCGGCCCGCCCTACTGACACGTTTCGGGGTGGGACAGGTAGGAGTTATGTACGAGGAGAGGAATGGAAGATGATGCTGCTGATGATGATGATGCTTATGATGGTGCTGATGATGATGCTGATGATCATGATGATGGTGATGACGTTGCTGATGCTGATGCTGATGCTGATGCTGATGATGCTGATAATGCTGCTGATGATGATGATGCTGATGCTGATGATGATGCTGATGCAGTTGATGATGAGGATGGTGGTGATGATGCTGATGCTGAGGACAATGATGAAAGTCGACACAGATGGTGAGTATGACGAAAGAGTACGGGAGGAGGTGGAGGAGGGGGTACAGGAGGAGGATATGGGGTATGCTCATGATGTTTTGATGCTGCAGTGTTGGTTGATGTTTGTACTCACGAATTTTAGTTGCTGATGCTTGTGATGATGATTATGATGATGATTATGATGACGCTGCTGCTGATGATATGATGATGATGATTGTGATGATGATTATGATGATGATGACGCTGTTGCTGATGATTGTGATGATGATTATGATGATGATTATGATGCTGATTATGCTGATGATGATGATGATGATGATGGTAGTGATGATGCTGATGATGACGCTGCTGCTGATGATGACGCTGATGATGATGATGATGATGATGATGATGATGATGATTCTTGATGATGATTCTTGATGATGATGATGATGATGATGATGATGATGATGATGATGATGATGATGATGATGATGATGATGATGATGATGATGATGATGATGATGATAAGGATGACGAGGATGATCGTGCTGAGAAAGATGATGCTGATGATGATGACGAGGGGGGGGGAGGAGGAGGAAGAGGAGGAAGAGGAGGAGGAAGAGGAAGGGGGGAAGGAGTCGGTTGAGGGAGATCGGGACGGGGGAGAGTTTGGGGAGAAGGATGTGGAGGATGAGGATTTGGATGTGAAGAAGCCTTGAAGGAACGCCGTCCCACAAAGTCTACGACAACGTATACGGCCGGATCGGCGCGGCAGGGAACCTGCAGGTCTGCGCCGCCAAGTTGATGGAAGGCACTCTGCGTCCCGTGCTGCCCTCCCTTGCTGCCTGCCCCTCTTCCTTTCCTTCCAGCCGCTCGCTCTGTCTCCGTCTCCGTCTCCGTGTCTGTGCTCTCTCTCTCTCTCTCTCTTTCTCTATCTTTTTTCCGTGCGCAATCTTGTGGTCTCTCTCTCTCTCGCCCTCCCGTGCTCTCTCTGTCCTTCTCTTTCTGCCTTCCTCTGCCCGTCTTGTCTGCCAGTCGGGCGCTCCGCTTCTGGCTGCCTGTCTGTTTGGCTGTCTGTCTGCCTGGCTCCCTTCTTTTTTTTTTTTCCTGTTGCGCTCTCTCTCTCTCTCTCTTTTTATTTCGGAGGTGGATAGACCTCCTACCCTGACACGTCGGTTGAGGAATTAGCCGTTTTCGGTTCGCGAGAGGGCGTCGCGGCCGTCGTTTTTGCGGGTCCAGGTCCGTCGGTCTCGGTCCCAGGCCGTTTTCACTAGAGGGAGGTTTACTAAAGGGAGGTGTGTCCAACGCCGATTACTCTCTCTCTCTCTCTCTCCCTCCCTCCCCCAG